TGTAATCCATCACATGAGAGGTAGAGAGGGAGGGAAACCCCAGAGCAGGCTGGAGAGCTAAGTAACCCTGCCTCAGTGTGTAAGGAGAAAAACCATGAGGGAGGCGCTCATTGTCAGCTTGTCTCCATATGTGGACACACACACACAGTGTGTCCAAACCTGTGAACATAGGTAAACATGAAATTATCATACACGTGGGGGTAAGGCAACACAGAGTTTGTTTGTTTCCATTGGGCTTTAAAATCCTGGTCAGTGATAAAGTTACTTTATGAATATAAATTAACATGAAGGAGGAAAGATAACTATCAGTCTCTTAAAGTAGCTCTAAATTTTAAAGCTTCAGGCCATGGAATTAAAATGGAATATAAGAAAGGCTTGTGGTAGGTTGTTCTTTATATATATATCTCTTGCAGACGTCTTGTATGAATATATTATTCATCAACTGACTATCTTGACGTACTTGACTACAACAAAAACATTTATAAATTAGATTTTAAAACATTTTATTAAATCTCAAGCTATAAAAATTCCTCTATTCTTTTTTATTTTGACTGTGCAAATGGTCAAAATCCTATAAAATTTGATAAAGAGGTACATTTTATGCACTTAATTGACTAAAAACAACTTACAATAATGAGATAGGATACTTCCTCTTACCTTTGAATAAGGATTACTTGTGTGTGCGTGTGTGTGTGTGTGTGTGTGTGTGTGTGTGTGTGTGTGTGTGCGCGCGTGTGTGTGTGTAGGTGTAGTATTCCTTATGTCTTTGGAGTGTAAACACTGAGAAATTCCAGTAGTCTTCACGTCAGCAAATGAGAAGTAATAAAAACACTTAGGAGCACTGGTCCGCCGCCTTCCTGACGCTGCCTGTGACCCTTTTAATGCGGTCACCAAAGTTGTTGTGATCCCCAGCCATAGACTTGTTTTGTTGCTACTTCATAACTCATTTTGCTACTGTATGAATCATATAGGTATCTGTGTTTTCTGATGGTCTTAGTTGACTCCTGTGAAAGGGTTGTTTGGATACCCCACTACCACCAAGGGGTAGGGATGCACAGGTTGAAAACCACTGTGTAAGAGGTTAGCAAAAGTTTTCTTCCTGGCTTTCTGAAACAGGGTTTCTCTGTGTGGCCCTGGCTGTCCTGAAACTCACTCTGAAGACCAGGCTGGCCTCGAACTCAAGAATTCTACCTGCCCCTGCCTTCTATTGCTGTGATTAAAGGTGAACGCCACTACCACAGGCAGAAGATAGACTTTTTACAGCAGTGCCTGCCACTCACTTACCTAAATTCACTGTCAATGATGTGACCCAAAATTGAATAACGGCATGTCATAGAAAATTGTTTTTAAGGATTACTTACATATCATTTGAAATTTTTCAAAAGTTTAAAAAAAAAAAAAATGGGATTTAGACATTCACATTGCCACAGTTGTCAGCATTTTGTTCGCTTCCCCCGTTGCCCCGAGAGCCATGAGAAGTTGGACAGGAAGCGTGGTCACAGTCCTGTCCACAGCATTGAGCTCATTGTAGGAACGGTGTGCAAAGCTATGTCTTAAGAGACGGTCTCACTTCCATCTTCAAGAAGTGTGTGTAAACTGCAGTAGAGCCAGTGTTTAAGGTGGGCTCCCTTAAGGTAAGCCTGCCTTACAAACACACCCAAGGTGTTTCTCCCGAGAGCTTCTAAACCCTGTCAAGTTGACAGTGGGGGTAAAGGGTAAGCACCACAGAGGTGTGTCATCTTTATAAATTGATTTTTCTATAGGAAAACTGTCCGTGCCTTTGAAAATAAGCATTACTACTTGTACTTTGACTTTCTTTGAATGACATTCTGCAATCCATTTAGAAATGAGTGACGGGGGGGGGGGGGACAACTTCCTTCTACGATTCAAAAATTATGTATTTGAGCAAGATGTGGTAGTGACATAGTTCTTTAATCTCAGCACTCAGAGGCAGCCAGATCTCCCTGAGTTCCAGGCCATCACAAAAACAAACCAAAGTAAAAGTAGTTGGCATGATACCAGTCACTAAATACTTTGTACTCTCTCTGGTTTGAATAGAGCCCTCATTATATAGTAGTAGTTGTGCAGGTCCTCTGGAGTTCTCGCTTTCTAGCCTAGTTCACATATGTGTTCAGACTCCTGTTGTAAGGCGTGGCTTGCTGCGATGCTAATGAGTTCTCATTCCTGTCCTTCACCTCTAAGTACAGTGCATTTTATTTTCTCCTATGTCCATAAGGTATTACTAGACTTCTGAAAGGTAATGGTGGGAGATTCTAACTCTGGCCAAAGAACTCTCTGCCATCTGTTTGGTTGCAGACGAAAAGAATGACTTTTGTAAGGAAGTCTCAAAGCATTGGTGCCCTCCAGCCTCAGCACCCGCCTGGGAACACAGCCTGCAGCTGCATAAACAGCCTCCCTGCAGGACTTGCCAGCGCTGTGTAATGCCTGCCTGTGCACTTACCTGTTCCTTTCTAGCTTACCCACTTGACCCACGACAAGTACCCTTCCTAGTGGGACACACCTCCGTGAGCGAGTGACTGACAGTAACTGTTTTATGACTTTGACCAAGTAAGGCCATGTTCTTATGTCGGAATTTGTTTTCCCTCCTAGGTAGCCTTTCCAGTAAATATATGACTCAGGGGAAAGCCTCAGTGAGGAGGACCCAGCAAGAATCATGAGGGAAGGAAACGCAGCCCTGGAAATGGCCACTCAGGCTTCCCTATCCACTTGGAAAATTAGGTTCACTTCACAGATCCGGCTTCAACGGAACAGTTGAGGGAGATGTCGGAATTTTTAAAATTTTAATGAAATTGTTAATGAGGAAAAGTAAGATTTTAATACAGTCAACATCAATCCCCACAGATTGGAAGAATTTAAAAGAAAGCCATGATGTATTTAAACCAACTTAAAAGAAACAAGTGTAACTGTGGGCCAGTATTCCGTGACAACGGTGTCTTGGTTTTTTAATTCTTTCAAAGCACACTAAAAACAGTGTGCTGCTCACGGAGGAATTAACCCTTCTTCACCTCTGCATCCCTTTCTGATTTTCAAGAGGGGATTCTGTGTGTTGCCGGACCCTGGTGTGGACACACATCAGACACTTGTGGACTGTGGTGCTGTACCTTCACCGAGCATTCTCCATGGTTCTTTGTAGAAGTGGGAGCACAGAATGCAGGCACCTGTGGATGTGTGCCTCTGCGGCCTACAGCACCATTGACAGACACACCTCTGGGGCTCCCTTCTCTAAATGACAGAAGTGTTGTGCTCATAAAAATGAAGTCATGAAAACAAGTAGTCCTATTTGCTGGCTTAAAGAAAATTTCAAGGGGGAAATGAGAGAATAAAAGTGCTTTTTACTTTTTATGATACTTGGAAATTAGGGTGGAGAGCTCTTACACACCTCTGAAGATCAAAGAGGCCGTTGTTGTCTGCCACTCACAAGCTTGATTGGCGTCCTTCTGGATCTGACTGGAGCCATTTCTGAACTGTTTCTCAACTTCACAAGCCTTTCTGAAATAGTACATAGTCAGAACTATGCCTCGGTTTATTTATCATTTTAAAATAAAATCGAACTTTCAACCTGTAACTTTATCCACATTATTTTCTTATAAAAGAAGCCTCATTAGAAAAATCAGTCAAGGATCTGGGACAGGACAAATGTCCCTAATCTTGATGCCTATGAGGTGCCCCTTTGACATGTACTAGCTGTGTGCTGGGTCTGAGCTGCAGGAGATGGGGCCTGAGAGCTTGCCCAGGACATTCCTAGAAATGGGAGGTCTTGGGCCACGCATGTATGTGCACTTCTGCTGCTATTCTAGCCACACAAAGTCTTGGAGAATTTGGGAATCATGCTAAATAAAAATGGGACCAATGACTGCTCAGCTGCTGCTCCTCTTCTCTGGCTGTGAAATGGCAGCATGCCACACCTTCCTGCAAAGGCCCTGTGTTGCCCCTCTGCCCTTAGAAATACCCCACCAGACTAATGTTTATCCCAGGTAGTTATTTTCTACTTGGGTCTTTTGTTGGTTTGGAGGATGTATGTGTTTTACTTATCCCTAACATTAAGAAACAGAATTGCTGTGTTTTCTTCTACCCTTGCACAAGTTTTCTACATTTTGTTTTGATTCTTAAAAGAAATTCTGTGCAACGGGCTGGGGGTTTGATGGCTTACAGTGAGACTGAGATAGTGAGGCGTGTTTGCCAGCAGATGAGGGAGTGGAGTGCCCAGGACACGGCCTTTGTGCGGGCACCAGCTCCCCACAGCCCCGTGAAAGCTGTCTTCACGTAGGACTGCAGTGTCTGCAGCCCGTGTTCTTGCTAAAACCACAGAGATCCATTCCCCAGTTTTTACTGCAGGAGTCGTGGAAACTCCCATGTTCCCTCTTTAAGCAGTCTCGTGGCGAGCTTTGTGGTCGTTTTTCAGTGCTCTTTAAAAAAAATCAGTCTATTTTGTCTTTTACTTCAAAGGTGGCTTCTACGTAAGTGGGGGGGGGGGGGGTTCCCAAGCGGAAAACCCTCACAACACAGATCCCTGAGTGTGTGTCCTTCACAAGTGTTGCACACACAAACTCCAGCTGAAACACGGTGTGCCCGCTCTTTGCTCCCGGCCTCGCTGGGAGTTTCTCCTGCTGCCCCCCCCCCGCGCCCATCCGGCGCCCGCGCCCGGGCAGCTGCCGCTGGCCGATAAGCGGCTCCCGCTCTGCAGCGTCACGGGTGCGTGCAGCTGGCCCGGTGGGAGCCGCTCAGCGTCCGAGCGGCTGCGGCCCGCGCTGGAGCCCCGGCCGGCCGCCTTCAGTCCCGGCGCCTGCCGCCAGGGGGCGCCGAGCGGAGGCAGCCACTGCACTTCCGGTAGCGCCGCGACGGCGAAGCCCGCAAGGTCACAGGTCACCACTGCGCGCGCGCCGTCAGCGCTGACGCCCGCGCGGCCCGGCCCGTCACTCGCCCGGCTGTCCAATGGGGGCGCGGGGAGGGGGCGGGGCCCGCGGGCGGGCCGGGGCCTGCGGCGCATGCGCCGTTGCGGGCGGCGTCGAGGCGCCCGCCGTGTCCATGGAGAGAGGCTGAGGCCGCCCCGAGCCTTCGGCCCGAGCGAGGCTGCGGGCGCCGCGACCTGGCCATGTCGGCGTCGTTGGTCCGCGCCACGGTGCGGGCCGTGAGCAAGCGCAAGCTGCAGCCCACGCGGGCGGCGCTCACGCTGGTGAGTCAGCCGGGCGGGCCTGGCCGCCGCCGACCGGGGCTCCGGAGGGGGGGACCGGGCAGCCGCCGGGGTCACGGCGTCCTGGGAGGAAGGGCGGGCGGGCCGGGCCGCGGAGGGCGAGCCGGGCCGCGGAGGGCGAGCCGGGCCGCGGAGGGCGAGCCGGGCCGCCAGCGCTCCCACCCCGCCCCGGCCCGCCGCCCCCGCCGCCCCGGAGCCGCCGCCGTCGGGTGCCCACCGCGTGCGCTCCGGCGCTGCCCCGGGCCGGCCGTGGGATCTGGAATTGTGTGGCCTGGCTGGCTGTGTTGCGTCCTCGCGAAGGCACAGAGAGCCCTCGGGAGCATCGGGCACAGCGCTCGGGCTCTCTGTGCTTTGCCCGCGTGTTTCTTCTTTTTTCCCCTAAGTGTCACCATTTGGGGTTTTCTCGAGCTGCCCCTTTCTTCCCCGTCCCTACGTTGTTGTTTTCGGCATACGTTATCAAGACTTGCTATGTTTTGTGACAAGCGATAAGTGAGCGAGCTACCTGCCCCCACCCCTGCCGTCGTGTTTACCAGAAGTAACGCCTGCCTTGCACGGACCCGGTCCCTCCCTGCCCGTGCTTTGTAACCGTACGCCTCGTTATGCGCTGTCACAGCGGGTCTCACTTCACAGACTCGGTGTCCCCTGCCCCGGCTGCTGACTCTGTCATCTGAACTCATCCTTCAAGTGTCGCCTTTCCCTGTGATTCTCGTGGTAGCCTGCTGGAGGCTGTTTGGTAAACATTGTGACCTGGCCTGTAACAAATGCAGATAATCAAATGCTTTGGGGGGGAGGGTAGAGGAGACTAGGAAACAAACTGATGCAAATTTAAATATTTTTGCCTGGCCACATGGGTCTGACAGTGGGAATTTGACACATTGGAACCGCTGGAGTGCTCTAGAGTCTAGTAGAAGTGAGCCATGGCAAGGAAAGGTGTACCATGAAAATAGGAGCGCCAGCCATCTCTCTAGCTGATGTCAGTCCTGCAGAGACTTGATGGGCAGTGGTCAGTCCTGCAGAGACTTGATGGGCAGTGGTCAGTCCTGCAGAGACTTGATGGGCGGTGGTCAGTCCTGCAGAGACTTGATGGGCAGTGGTGGGGTGAGGGTTGGACTGGCAATGTCTACAAACCAGGAATGGCTACGGCTCAGTAACCACGTTACTGGAAGTACCTTTGGACACCCAAGGAGAATGGGCTCCTTCCCGCCCCCATGTCGCCAGGGTTAGTAGTAGCATTGAGTTTGTAGGGAGCAGAGAGAAATGTGACAGGCCGCTTTGTCTCCATCCTTGTACCAGGCAGTCTGTGCAGCTCTCGTTTGTGGCTTGAGTAAATGACAGGGCCAGCCGTCCGTGTGGGTGTGTACAGAGGCGCTAGTTCACTGTAGGGGGTGGAGGAGGCACCTCCCCGTGCTGCCTGACGCAGGGGCTGACGGACTCGTGAGGACTTGTTACTTGGTTGGAGTAGGACCTTTGGGACAGCGACTGGCACGTGTCAGCTCAGAAGCTATTACCAGGAAAAGTATACAGAGTACAGCTGGTTCTGGTGCAGTTAGGGTGTGAGGAGGGAGGGAGCCTTTAGCAAAGGATCCTGCGGTTTATTCTTTTAAGCTTTACAGTTGTTAACTCTTTGTCATCAGTTTTGTAGCCCTTGCGATTGTACCTAAACCAGAGTAGCCAACCCCAGGGGTTGGGGTGGGGGAGGGGCCCAGCTGGCAGAGGACGTGCTGTGAGGCAGGAGGCCCAGTTTCCTCAGTTCCCAGATCAAAACAGCTGGGGGTGGGGGTGCTGCATACTTGTAATCCCAGTGCTGGGACTGGAGCAGGCTAGGCCTGGGCTCCAGTGGCCAGCCAGTGACCCTGCTGGACAAGCCCTGGCCCTGTGATGCCTCATTCTGAAACATTCACTTGGGGTGCATTTCCCAGCAAAAAAGGCCCTGAAATAAGTTTTGGTCTGTGGCTGTGAATATTTTAAATTTACATGTATTTAATATGTGTGCATGTATTCGGACATATGTGCCTTAGGGTGGTATGGTAAGAGGAGTCATTTCTCACCTTCCAGCATGTGGGTCCCAGGGATCAACTCTGGTCCTCAAGCTTGAAGGCAAGTTCATTTACCTGATGAACCGTCTCAGCAGCTCTTTAATAATTCTTTAAAACTTCTTCAAAGTGTTCTCCCTTTAAGCATAAAACTGAGTTTCTATGGTTTGCACAGGAGCTAATTAAAAGGCATTGTTAGATTTTCATGTGTTTCGATAATCAGAATTCTTGAATTGAGTCCTACTTGTTGGTAAGTTTCTTGGGAAGATTCGGGTTGAGCTAGTCTAAGGGGTTGCAGACACAGTAGAAGACTATTTTTTCTTTTTTCATGACCATGGTGTATGCACAGGCCTGGCGTCAAGGGGGCCACTTACCTTCTGTCTAGAACCAAACACAGTGCTAACCTAGAATAGGAGATAGCCCCATTCTGTTCCTTCAACTTACAAGAACAGTTCCTTCAGCTCAGCAATGGCATTTCATTCACTCAGGGAGGCATGGAGGCCAAGGGTTAGGACCAGCCTGGAATACAGAGTGTCTGTTTCTAAAACAAGGTAAAGTCAGCCAGTCACTTAGCCGGTTCCAGCTCCTTAGTAACAGCTCCCCGAGAGGAGCATAGCAAAGTTAAGGTTTGATTTGCTCCTTTGACAGCTGCTCAAAGACATTGAGGTCCTGTTACTGTTTAGGAGATGTCAACATTATCCGCCCAGTGCCTGTGTGGGTGAGGATGGTTCTACATTCCTTGTTTTTACTTGGCTGTGTTGAACTGGTGTTTTGAGGAAAACCTGGCTGTAGATTAATTAGGCTGACCTCAAATTCATGATATTCCTGCTGCCTTCAGCTTCCCGGTAGCCAGGAGTATGGGCAGCTGCTGTTTCAATGTTTTTAAGACTTGAGAAAAGAAGGAAACCTGCTGACTTTTAAAAATCAAATTGGGTAACGTAGAAAACCTTATGGGGATAAAACTCAGGCCCAGTTAATCAAAGAGAATCATGTGTTCTCATCTTCACCTTTGACCTGTGCACTGGAAACCCAGGCTCTCCTTCAGATTCCTGCACCAGCAAACACTTTTCTTCTAAGCTTTTTGCTTTATGAGTGGTTTGCTTGTATGTGTATGTACCATGAGTCCCTGGTGTCGAAGAGGCCTTTGGAGTTGCTAAAACTGAAGTTACAGCCGGTGGTGGCCTGCCCTGCCTGCCCTGTGGTTGCTGCTTCAGTCAGTTCTCTGTGTGGACAGCCACTGCGTGCTCTGAGCCATAGAGCCACCTCTGTAGCTTGTCTTGTAAATTGTTTTCAGAAGTTGTATTCTGCTGACAAAGAATAGGTTTATTTCCTGGGCACTTTCATAGGACATATGCTCATAAAAATGCATAGCTGGGAGACCGGGAAGGAAGGGCTTATGGGCAGTCACTTGGAAGTGTAATAAATAAGCACATTTCTTTCTGAAATTAACTTTAGATGATTAAAAATCTATTAGAATCTTTAAAATCTGCACATCTGTTTAATTCCTTCCCACATATGTTCACATTTAAAGGTTATTTCTTTTCCTGGGGCCATATTGTATATAGAGCAACCACTTGGGATGTGAAGCAGCGAGGATTGGGGTGGCTGGCATTTGATGTCACTGGTAGCCGTACCCTAGGTTGATGCTCAGCTTGACACTGCATCCCTTCCTGAGAAAGCAGCCTGGCTGTTGAAGCACACACAGCCAGGGGCCGTGGCAAGGGCTTGCCTTCCTGTTGCTGCACTGCAGCTGCAGCTTTTTCCGAAGATGCTCGCTTCCCAAGGACTAAGAAGCGAGAGCTCGTCTACCAGTCTGTCTAGTTGCCTTGTGCGCTTAATTATTTTAGTGCTTTTATTTGGTTTTATCTCTAAATGTCTTATTGCTGTAACCTTATTTTATGAGAAGTACAAATAATGGTAAGATATAATAAAAAATCACCTGTAATTAGCTTGATTGGTGATAATTAAAGGCTGCCAAATAACCAGAGAAAAGTTCAAAGTGTTGTTATAACTCAGTCGCCTGAGCATCACAAGTTAGACGTGTGTGTTTTCTTTGGCAGTTTGTTTTCTTTTTTGACATGCACCTGTATTCTGGGCTTTGGTCCTGGCCACAGAACTCACTCTGTAGACTGTGCTGGCCTTGAACTCAGGGATTCACCTGTCTCAGCCTCCTGAGTTCTGGAGTTAAAGGTGTGGGCCACCATGCCCGGCTTGTTACTTTGAGTATCTGTTATTCCTTGTCTTATGTCCTCCATGTTTGCCTGTGTGTCACTTCAGTGTCCATACTGCGACTGAGGGTCAGGACTTTACACACTACGCTCACATTGAGTGACTTAAATCGTGCTCTAAACAGCATCCATTTGTATCAGACATGCTGTATTGTTTTCTTTTTGTGTGTGGGTATGTGAGGGGGTGTTGGTACATGTATGGTATAGTATGGAGACTGGAGGCAACCTCTAAAATTATTCATTCCTCAGGAGCCCCCTACCTTTCTTTTCTTTGAGACAGGGTTTCTCGGAGACCTGGAACTAACCCCCAAGTAGGCTAGGCTAGGCTAGGCGGTTGTCTGCTGACTCCCTCTCCCTCCCTCCCCATCCTCATCACCCTCTACCGCACCTGGCCAGCTCATGGTTTGTTGTTTTGCTTTATGGGGATTGAAACAAGTGCTTCACCGGCTCCACTGTCTTCCCAGCCTGGAACACACAGCTTATTATTCCACGTCGTTTTCATGGTTGACGCTGTATTTTCTAAGTTGATTGGTTCTGAGGCCCTTGGTTTGGTCCCACACTGTATTTGTACTTCATCATCTGTCCAGGCCTCTGATCTGTTCCCTGCCAGCTGGAATAGCTAATGGACCCGAGTAGGGTTTCTCTCACATTTGTTAGTGTAGCTGCCACTTTGCTCTGTGCCCCATCCTCTCCTGGACCCAGAATGTCACACTCTAGGCTGGTCGGGCTGCAGTTCAGGGTTTAGTCTTCACGGGAATTCTAGGGAATGGGGTTGACCCTGTTACCCCATGTAGGAAGCTAAATGTTAGAAAAACTGTTTAAGGTGTGTCTGCCTTTGCAACATACCCAGGAAGTAGTCCAGGAATGTTTCAGATGAGACTAGGTACCCAGCAATCCTCCACAAGAAGGTGGCTAGGCTGAACTGCATTCTTAGCTACACATAGCTCATACATAGTCCTGTCACTGAGGAGCATGACTGCTCACCCAGATACCCTGGTATGTCGTTGGCCCACCCTGGAAATGTGTGCCTAGAAGCAGCTCTAGCCATGCATTGAGATGGATCTGAAGGGGATTGAACCCGGAGTTTTGGCTTTTCTGCTGATAGGCTGTTGTGAGCATCTGTCTGGCTCTGGGCTTGTTACAGGGCAGGTAGTAGATACACGAGTTCTAGTCTTCCAGGAGAAGTGGTTTCTGTCAGTGTGGGCGAGTGCCTTGGCTGTGGCTTCCTTTGCTGGATGGGATCCACAGGTCCTGACAAGCAGTGCACAGGTGTGCTACAACAGGCCCTTCAGAGGACGAGCTTCATAACGGTTTCTGTTTTTCCAGACTCCCTCGGCTGTGAACAAGATAAAACAGCTTCTCAAAGACAAACCAGAGCACGTAAGTTGGGTCTGAGAGGGGTTGGCAGAGCTGAAGTTCTGTTCTCAGGACAAGTGTATTTGCTGCCAGGCAAGCACAGGGAGCTGCACCCAAACTCTTGAGTCACGTGGGGGGCTTTCCATGCAAAACAGCTGGTCACTGCTCAAACCCCAGACAGCCAGGGCTCTGTGTGTCACTCTTTGCCAGCTGCAGCCTGAGCTGTCTGTGCTCCTGTCCCCAGAGGCTCCTCCCCAACTCAGGTGCAGCCAAGCCTTTTATCTGGGTTCTGGAGATCGCGTGGCCTCTGGTGCCCTCTATTGTTGTAATGGGGCCCTTGTCTCTGGCCTGGCCTGGCCTGGCTCCAGGGTGTCAGTCATCACACAGTTGATATTCTCAATTCTTTTCAGGTGGGTCTGAAAGTTGGTGTGCGAACCAGGGGCTGTAACGGCCTCTCTTACACCCTGGAGTATACAAAGACAAAAGGAGACTCTGATGAAGAAGTTGTTCAAGATGGTGAGCTCTCTTGTCTTTTTGAGATGGGTTCTTTTGTAGCCCAGGCTAGCCCTAAACTCCTTAATTCCTATTCCACCTCCCGGTGATGGGGTTTAAGTGTGTACCCCACACTTGGCTCTGGTAAGGTATGGGGTGATTTTGTTTTGGTTCATTAACATTTTATGGGCACATTGTTCTGACACTTTATCCTTGTACAAAACTGCCGCCTGTGTTAGGAATAGTCTGCTGAGTGGTGCCTGCCACTCGCCTGCCATTGACACACAGGTTTCATTATCTAAAAGGAGAAGTAACATTTTTCCTGGTGCAAGGAGAGGCTCACAAACTGGAAAGCCCAGGGTCTCCCAGCAAAAGAACCTAGTGAAGCTACAAACACAGCTCTCTGAGGGTTTGGAGAAGTTGTGTTTTGTTTCAGCTCTAAATAGTCATCACTGTGAAAGGTTTGGCTTTTTTTTTTTTTTTTTTTTTTTTTTTTTTGGTGGTTTGGTTTGGTTTACTTTTGGTTTTTTATTCTGACAGTCTTCACTATATGGCCCAGTTTCAGACTCTTGGTTCTTCTTCCCATAAATCCTGAGTGCAGGAGTCACAGACAGTTGCTGTAATTGCTGAAGGTCAAGTTCATCCTCACAGATTTTTAAAAGTTGTATTGGTATTGAGGTCAGAGGTCAACTTTTGAGAGTTGGTTCTCTTCCTTCACCGTAGGTTCTGGGTATCAAAACTCTGGTAATCAGGGTTGCAAAGCAAGCTCCTCGAGGAGCCGGAACTTCTCACCACACACAGACTCTAAGACCATTCTGTTGAAACAGTTTTACATGGGTGTGTGTTAGTGCAGATTCCTGTGGGGGCCAGGACGCAGTTGTGAGCTGCCTAGGGTGGGTGCTGGGAACCCGACTTGGTCCTCTGCAGGAGCAGCACATGCTTTCCAGCCACAGCTTAACTTTTATTAGGTACTGCTTTTGATACCAGCCCCTGTCTTCTTGCAAAGTCTACCAAGGAGTGAGGTACGGTGGCTCAGGCTTAATACTCCCACCATTGGCGATGGGGATCTTATGTTTTAGGTTCAAGATAAGGTCAGTCCAGCCTGGGCTAGCAAGATCCTGTATAAGACATTATTAATTATTAGTAAGACTACAACCCTGGAGAAAGGGAAAGAAAGGGTTTGTGTGCTGCGATGTATTGTTAGTGGCTTGCAGCCCTTTTTGTATGAGACAAACAGGAATTATATTCCCAGATGTGCTTCCATCATATTTAACTGAAATAATTAACCAATAAAGGCCTTTTTAGATTATAAAAAATTGGAGCTGGAGAGATGCTCAGAGGTTAAGTACTGCGACTCTTCCAGAGGACTTGGGTTCAGTTCCCAGCAACCATATAATGCCTCACGCCCATCTGTAACTTTTGGTCCGACACCCTCTTTTGGCTGCTGGTTACTGGCTTCCACAGGCAAACAACCACACACATTAAAAATCTTTGAAAAAAAAAAAATCAGTTCAAAAATGCAAGCCTCAGTTGCTCTCCTACAAAGAACAGGACCTATAGTGTATGTTCATGTTTAAGTGACATCTTGTAAGGAAAACACGTTCTTTTATTTTCAAGAGGTTGTTTCTCCTGCACAGTGGCAAAGGAATGTTACTCATTTTTAAGGCCATCAGCAGATTACAACTCTGGGTCGCATGGGTGTTCTCTGAGGTCCATGTCTCATTGTGTGGTCTGCTTTAAAAAATGCACTATGGAGCAACAGTACTGTGGATGTTTTTACCTGACAGGGTCAGATACAGATGTTCCCCAGAAAACTCATTAACACCATCATTTAAAAACTCATAAAATTACACATTTTCCTACAGCAGATTGGGGAGATGGGGAGTAAGTAAAATAGAGTGAAAGGCAAACCACAGTTTTTGCATGAATGCCATGGGACTTCCATGTATAAATGGGTCTTCCCTGTTATAATTGGCTGGGCAGACTGGGCTGGTGGGAAGCTGTGAGCTTCCTCCCTGTAAAGAAACCCTGGACATGCCCAGAAGCTGTAGCCTATGGATGGTGCCCACCAGAAATTCACTGGCAGGTTCTCTACACTGTAGGCTTTATGTGACATGTGTTTTCTTTTCCCCAAGGGGTCAGAGTGTTCATCGAAAAGAAAGCACAGTTAACACTTTTAGGAACCGAAATGGACTATGTGGAGGACAAACTGTCCAGTGAGTTTGTTTTCAATAACCCCAACATCAAAGGAACTTGTGGCTGTGGTGAAAGCTTCAACATTTGAAACCTCAGGACTCCAAGCTCCAGGAGAGCCGGGATCTACCTGGGAGCTTACTGAAGAAATCATGTGGTCGTCACGTGCTCAGAGTTTAATAATGTGTGCCATCTCAAGGGGAAAATAAAGTGATGCATTTTGGAAATCAAACCAGTGTGCTAAGAATCCCAAAAACCTGGTATCTGTTGTCTTGGAATCTGTATCTGAGAGACCATTGGTTTCTTTGGGTCGCCTTCTGTACAGAAACTCCTACCCCTCTCTTAACACTGCAGTGTGCTTTGTGACCACGGATAACAAGTGTGCACCCATAGATCCAGGCGGGACAGCATAGTGGTAGCTCATTTCCTCACATTTGCCATGGCCTTTTACATTTTTATTAGAAATGTGGTTATCAGGTGCCTCGTTTGCCTGCCCCTCAACAGTTCGACTTCTGAGTGATGGTATCAGAGGTGGGAGCTGCCAGGCCTGGTCTCAGTCCACCTCCTAGGACGAGTTTTGCAATGGTTTGCTTAGACCTTTCAGTTGGAAGCTGTTGTGACAAGCAGCCAGCTAGCTCACTGCACTTCACCCTGTGTGTGTGGAGACTAGATCTGAGGACAAGTTAGAAGAGCTAGACGGTACCCAGCTCTCCTTTCCTCAGGGATGACACCAGTGCTGTGTGACACTCAGTGGGGGCGAGTGGGGGCCTGGGGCCGTGCCTGGGCGGCATTTTCAGAAGACTGTCTTAATTTATGGAGATTGCATTAGTTTTGAATGGAAAAGTCTCATTTAAACCCTTTGTATGAATTGCCATCTTGTTTGTTTAGAACTTTGACACAGTAGTTTCTTACAGAGACCCTGCAGCAGTGGAATGACTCTTGGAGCACAGGACCTCTGGAGCAGAACATGGAAGTATCTCATTCTAATTCCCAATGCGCACATACTCTCTGGTTCCTACATGAAATAGCTGAACTTTTAGTATGTTTCTCACTCGTCTTTTGAGTTGTGATTTTGCTATGGAGTACAGGCCAGCCTCACTCTCTACCATCCTGCTTCAGCTTTGAGACATGCCAGGCTTTTCTTCAGAGCTGTCTTGACTAGTGTTGACATCTTGAGTGACCTGTGAGTTCTTTTATGAAAGGCTGATTTTTATGAAGTAGCTGGGGTTAATATTTGCTATTTACTAAAGTACCTACCACCAAAATGCACCATGTAGTTTTATATAATTGTTGATGAGTCTGTATCATAAATTGTTGATACATCTTTAATTCGTGCAATATTGTATGTAGCAATTGATATCGATTAAAAAGCACCACTTTGTGACCCTAGCGCTGTCTTTTGTTGTGGGAGAGCATTTGGGGTGGTCCGCTGCTAACGACACAGACAACTTCTTGTGCTGCTGTCCTGCTTTGCTGCCTGCCTGTGGTACAGACACACATGCAAACCTCCAGTCATCCTCAGGAGAGAATGCCATGCACACTCTGCAAGCGTTTTCCTTCGATACCTAAGTTTCAGGTTCTCTTCCTTCCAGAAGGGTCTTAGCAGTTCAGACCCAGTGAGACTGTCCTGGACTTACAGAGCCGAGAGCTGACAAATGAACCAAGCAGCACTAATTGCATTATATATGACCCAATCAGCATTAACCCCCTGTGCTTGGAACAAGTACATCATATACTGAATATTTTGATGACCTCCAGGGATGGGAGGCAGATGGAAGTTGGCTTCAAGGTTATGTCCTCTGAGCTAAGTTTTAAAGACAAAAAATGCAGAGGAAAGGGAAGACTGAACAAAACTAATTGGTTTGGGGGAAAATGTAGAGGAAAGCTATGCCCTGAAAAGACCAAGGAACAGGAAGGACAAGGTGGGGCCCTTGAAACAGACTCTTAGCTCTGCAAGGTTATCAGTCTGTACAAGGGAGTCTCAGAATACAACTGCATCCCACCAGACAAGGTACAAGCCTACAAGCATAGCATTGGGAAGCCAAGTCAGGAGTGAACATTCAAGACCAAATTTGAGGGTGTGTGTGTGTGTGTAGCAAGACCCCCGCCTTAAATTCAGATGGAAGAAGTGTCAATCCTGTGTTTATATGCAAAGTGGGCTAGGAGAAGGTAGAACTGGGCTGCTACCAAAACCCTGGAGGGACAGATAATGACCAGTGTGACTCAGCTCATGTGGGTACAGCAATACTTACAGTTTGGGCTTGGCGTTTTCTTACCCAATTTTAACATGGTGAAGACAGGGACTCAGCTGCTCGGCTGGTCTGGCCTGGCTCCACAAGTGCATCCGGACAGAATGGCTCAACCTGTAATCCTAACAGCCACGTCACTTGAGCCACAGCCCCAACCAGGGAGGTTCTCACATATCCACACAAACCCTGTGGCACCCCAAGTGATGTATGGGGGGGCATCAGATGTGCTGGGAGCCTCAGGAGGTGGCAAATGTCTTCATATAACCTCAGTTAAAACAAACTTGACTGTCCCAGTCAGGAAGCTCTGGACTGAATGGGCCAGGGCTGCTGTGGTTAAAAATACTCCATGCATTTCAGAAGGCCATCCTGCTGTGTTTCATTGTCTCCCAAACCCCCTTTCTGCACCACAAGAATGTTTTTTTCCCTCCAGCAGGAAGGGGAGTAGAGATTGGGGGGAAACCCACAAGATTGGGGTTCCTAAGATACTCAGTACTTCCTAGGATTGATTCAGCAGGAAATAACCTCAAAAAAATAGCCTTTGTCATGTTCTGATGTGTGAGCAGTCAGGAAACACATGTCTGTGGTGTTCAGCTGAGCAACAGACCGTCATGGGCCAGAGACAGGATCAGCCCAGAATCAGCAAGCAGCCAGTCTCGGGAGGAAAGCTGACATAGGTTTGACCCCATGGAAGAAAGGAGAAACCGTCTACCTTTGGCCTCAAGTGGTGTTCTCAGAAGAGAACACAGGGAACAGGGTCAGCCTTGCCTCTACACAGACATGCTGAGCCAGTAGCCCAGGGTGCCAGGGTTGGCAGAGCTACAAGAGAAGCATACAAAGGGTCTTTCCCAGCAGCCTTTGGGGAAATGCAGGCTTACACCTTCTCAAATGTCTACTCTGCAGACACATGCAGAATGGATTCCTGTTAAGGTGCCTGGCTTGCAGAGGTTTGTAGTACATGCTGTTTGCCAAATGTCAGAACTCAAATGCCCCACCCCTCTTGGGCTATCTTAGCACAGTTGAACATGTGTCCCTAAAGCCCTCACTTATGACTTTTTGAGGTTTGGTCTTTGTAAGGATGCAGGCATTATGCCTCAACATTGGGAAAACCCACAGGCATGCAGAGAGGCCTAGCCTCTCAGGCCTGTGGAAATAATACAGCTCCCTCGTTTAGTGTTCGTCACTCGGCTAATGCCATCCATTTCATCATACGCACAAATCCTCACCGTCTGAGTGAGACTAGTTTCTTTGGTGAAATACATGAATCAATACTTCAGTTCTTTCAATAGGTTCTCAGAACTGAATGCTTCCTGTCTAGGGTTCAGATGGCTCCTGAAAGGAAGCAGTGCTCAGCATGCGGGATCTCTCAGAAGCATCTGCACAACAAAGACATCCAGCCAAAAGACGAGACTGGCAGGTAGAAAATCCTGGCCAGCAATATATCCAACATAGGGGTAATACCTAAAATGTACAAAGAACTCAAAAAACTAGACATTGAGAAAGCAATCCAATTAGAAAATGGGCCCCAGGACTACACAGAATCGTCAAAAGAAATACAAAATGGTTAATACAGTTTGTAACGTGTTCAAATTATTAGCCATCAAGGAAATGCAAAATAGCAATGAGCTGGGCTGTGGTGGTGGCTCATGCCTTTAATCCCAGCACTCGGGAGACAGAGGCAGGCAGATGAGTTCGAGGCCAGCCTGCTCTACAAAGCTACACAGAGAAACCCTGTCTTGAAAGAACAAAAACAACTCAACAATGGTGGGTGGGAAGGATGTGGGAGAGAACACGTGTGTGTAGATTGCTGCAGCCACTGTGGAAATCAGCGTAAAGGCTTCTCAAAATCCTGCAACACAGTCCAACTATCCCGATCCTGGGCATATACGAAAAGACTCATTCCGTCCTACAGAAATACTTGCTTGCTGGGCGGTGGTGGTACACACCTTTAATCCCAGCATCCAGGAGGCAGAGGCTGGTGGATCTCTGTGAGTTTGAGACGAGCCTGGTCTACAAGAGCAAGTTTCAGGACAGGTTCCAAAGCCACAGAGAAACCCCGCCTCAAAAAACCACAGCCTAGAAGCCCATAAACTGACTGAGGAATAGTGGAAATGATAGAATGGAATTTTACTCTGCCATGAAGAAAAATGAAATTAAGTAACCTACAGGGAAATGGACCGAATGATACTACACTAAGGTAGTCCAAGCCAGCAAGATGAACCCTGTGTGTTCTCAAGTGGATCCCAGCTTTGAGTCTCCAGGGTTGTCTGGTTCATTTGGAGTGTCTGGAGAAGGGCAGGATGCTAGAGAAGGCGAAAGAGGCCGGAAGGGGAGAGGGACGGGGCCTTAGGGTTGAAGAGTGAGTACGACTCCGTGGCTATGAAAGCAGGGGGCACTGGGGGCTGAAGGGTTAAGTGGATGTTAAGGCAGGGGATGGAGGAGAGGAGTTAATGGTGTGGGTTAACCAAACTGCAGATAGATACAATTCCCTTCTAGAAATCCACCTTTTAACTGGGCGGTGGTGGCACATGCCTTTAATCCCAGCACTTGGGAGACAGAGGCAGGCAGAACTCTTGAGTTCAAGACCAGCCTGGTCTACAAGAGCTAGTTCTACGATAGGCTCCAAAGCTACACAGAGAAACCGTTTCAAAACAAAAAACAAACAAGAAATCCACCTTTGTTGTTGTTGTGGAGGCAGGGTTTCTCTCTGTAGCTTTGGAGCCTGTCCTAGAACTCCCTCTATAGACCAGACTGGCCTTGAACCCACCTGCCTCTGCCTGGGATTGAAGGCGTGCGCCCCCACCACCCGGCAGAAATCACCTCCTTAGAAATAAGAATTTTTTTAAAAGTCTGAACACAGGAACTCTGCATGGTAGACAGGGGTGCCTCCCTAGAAGACATGGGGTATTAAATGAAAATCCCAGAGAAACTAGTCAGAGGGCCAGAGCCCCCTAAAATAATATAGGCTACTGACTACCATTGCTCTCAGTCGCCCACCACGACTAGATGGTGAGACTTAGTGATGACACACACAACTAGATGGCGAGACACATTTGCAACACAGAAAGCCAGAACGGACCTCGAAACCTCCTCCCCGGCACCTGAAAAATGAGTCGTAACCGGTCAAGGGCTGTGACAAGTGACTGTTGAATGTTCTGCCCTGTATGAGACATCTTTATCGATACCGATAAACCCCCATCCAAGGCTGAGGGCCACAAGGTAAAAGCTGGAGGAGAGCACCGTAAACACCGCCTCCTGGATGTGGCAAGGCTGTAGCACTCAGGACCCATACAAGATGAGCTATGCAGTGGGACAGGGATAGAGGGTCGTGGGAG